TCCTTTTAACGGATCTCTTTTTCCCAAGTTTATTATTTCTACATTTCCTAGGTTTGGAAGGCAAAGGGAATGGTTTGGCCTCTTTCATCTGCGGTTCGACCTGATCCTCCACCTTCTGCTGAGAAACTTCAACTGGCACCTGTGAGGAATCGTCAGCAACCTTTGAGGTCTCCATATCAGGAACATCCGTGGTGTTTTCACTGGTCACCTCTGAGGGCTGGCCAGCCAAATCCTGAAAAGAGTCTTTAGGAAGACCGTGTGAGTGGGAATCTTCAGCTGAAGCCTGAGCGGAATCTTCAACCTGCACCTGTGGCGTATCTTTGTCCTTCGGTCTCTTTCTAAGCCTCCTTTTCTGAGTGGTCACTGGCTTATGAGCAACAGACTTTGGTTGTGGTGAATCAAGGCTTAATGTCCTTCTCCTTAGTCTTCTAGTTGGGCTGACTTCAGTAACCGCACATGATGATTTATCCTCATTACCCTCACTTGGATCTTTCGGAGCATCCTCTTTCTTCTCAGATACAGGGCTAACTTGCTGAATTAAAAAGGACGGCTTTGAACTTTTATGTTTCCCAGGAGAAGAGACCTTTTTGATCTGAAGAGGTGGAACTTTCCCGCTATCCATTTTAGAAATGTCTTGTGAAGGTGTTTCATGTACTTGGTCCACTTCAACTTCCGCTTGTAGAGTGGAATGATCCTCAGTTGACACTTCAGCCTTGATTTGGGATCCCTTATCATCATTATCTAAGCTTTTAGTCTCTTGTGGGGCCGAGTTATCCAGTTTTGATTTCTGATCCACCGTCTCTAAACTCTTGTCGACAATGGGGTCACAAATAGCAGCATTAACTACTTCACTAACGGTCTTCTCTGTTATTTTAACGGTGTTTACAGCACCCTGGGTTGGACCTTCTCCCTTCATTAATGTTAAAGTCCAGATAAACTTCTTTCTGTGTTTTTTCTTTCGAGTCGAGTTGTTCTTACTGGCTTGTGCATCATATTTTGGGTTTCTGACCTTCATCAACTTGAAACTTGGGACCCATGTATCCTCGCTTTTTAAAGGCAAACTGTCACTGGATTGTCGTGATCCATGGTTTTCTGTCACAGTTACATCCTTATTCAGCCTCCTGCTTTGCCTTCGTCCGTCACTTCTCATTGATGGTTTGGTCTCCCCTGTTGGAGAAACTTCTGGCTTTGACTCCCGCAGAAGAGCATCACTTTTACTCAGACTCTCTGGTTCAGCTGCAATCTCTGATGCTTTTTTAGTGAGTGGGTTAAAGACTCTATTGCTCCTACGAGTGATTTGTTGATTAACTTCGGGAACTTGCTCCGTCACTATTTCCTTATGCTTTAATTTCTTTGCATTCGTTTTTGGCTCCATAGTGATGCTCTCCTTAACAGTGTCGAATGTATCGGCTGATTTTCTCTCTTTCAATTTTTGGTCATCAACCACAACTTTGGCGCTAGGCTGGGAGACAGGCTCAGATGTCTTTGAAGCAGATCTCCCACGCCTTCTTGTAGGTAAAGTCACTCCTCCTTTATCTTCTGTGCCTTGTTTATCCTCATGCTGTTCAGTTTTTAATTTGACATGAGCACTTGAAATCTGGTCACCCTGAATCTCCTTGGCTTTAGGCTGATCCTGGATTCCTTTTATCCTCAACTTCTTTGCAAACTTTTTTAGAGGCTCTGTAACGCTTTTGATTTTCTTTTTAGCCACCAACTTTATAGTAATCCTGGGTGATGCTGATGAGGCTCCTCTTTTAGTTGACAGTCGATCCATAGTGTTTTTTCCTTTTGAACCTTTCCCGTAATCCTTGTCAGGCTCTGTTTCAGGCGATACGTTTTTTGTTTCCTCCAAAGATTTGACATCCTTTACATCATCAGGTGTGGCCTCCACCTCTGGTGTTTTAAGCGGTAGCTTCTCACTTTGTCGTTTAGACTTGGTGCTGACAGCATCCCCTACAAAACACAGACAATTTTGAATATTACTAAATCCATGGCTCCTGAAGTGTATGCAAAACAATGAATAGAAGAAAAACATATAATGTATTGTGTTATTAAATAACTACAACAAATAGTATGTCTTGTGCTCTACTTTATCTTTACCTTTGGAAGGATTTTGTCGTGAACATACAGATCCTTTGGAACGTTTTCTCTCAGCTTCAAATCCTCTGAAGTCGTCCCCCTTTAAAAGTAAAAATAGATAATTAACACTTGGAGCAAAGAAACACCACTCTTCTTGGGGCTGTCAAACTGTAAGCAAAACACAACTAAAATGATTTTTTAAACACAGGATCTTTCAAGAGCATGACATTAATTGTATCCACTACACTGTAGGTCAAAGCAAATGTCTCTGATAGTTCAATATGTATGTTATGTTAGCATATTAGTAAAAGGCTTTCTCAAATAATCCTTTAGTTAAGACTTGACAGCAAAATTACAGAAAATTGTTTTAATTTGTTCATATTCAAACCAAATATTGTGATTAATTTCATACACTAAACATAAATACGTTCTGTGTTGGAAACAGCCAGAAATGCATTTACATGGCATCTATATTATTTACCACCCGATACAAGATTACAACTCTACAACCTTTTCATAGCTCACACACGAACACCTACACTACCTACAAGCAACTGTAGGGAAAGGGTAGGTCTGTAATTACGATTCCCTCCAAGTACTGTACATCTCCCTCATGCTGGCAGCTGTGACCTAAGAGTCTACACACCAATCCACTGTTGTGAATCAGTAGTATACACGAACGACAAACGCTAAATGTGTAATAGTGGGGCGCTTTCAGTTATAACAACAAAAGTGCAACTGGCTTTGCACACTTCTGCACCACCATTCAAACCTGTCGTGTTTGGTAACATCAGCTAACAATTAGCCGCCACCTCCTCTAGAGAGCATTTAAACTTGTGCCTGCAGAAAAGCTAACGAAATCACAACTTAGTTTTCTGATGGTTTATCGCATGGCAAAGTGAAGCATTGCAAATGGGTCATAGACTATGTGTGTGTAATGTCTTATTTAAACTAGAGAAGCAGATAAAAGTGTCCGAATCAGGATAGCGTATGAAAACAGAGCAGTTAGCCGTTAGCCGCTGTGCAGTGTAGAGAGACGCTAGCTCTCCCGTTCTTTGTGTTCGCTACTGTTAGCTAGCTGCTACTCTGGCCCGATAACGAGCGGGCCATAAATAAAATAAGTGCAATCACTGTTTACGAATTTGCCTTCTTACTCATTGGCAATTTAAAAACATACTATATTCGTGTTTGCAGACTAATGTTTTAACCTACATTATGCAATTGGGGAAACAGTGTTAATGTAACTACTCAGCTGCTTTGCTGAAGTGGTATTTTGTGTTACGGCTGTTCTTTAAATGTCATGGAAAGCAGCACTATGCTAACCGTAGTTAGCATGTAATGTTAGCTTACCAAGCTTAAAGCTAAAGCTAGCCTAGCTAAGAGATGTTGACATTTCTCCATGGTGCTAAACAGTCACACTGCTTTGAAAAACACGCATACTTGCACATATAACAATCACACAAAATATGAGAAGATGAAATAAAGGTACTGACTCCTGGTTCGGTTTGGGACCTCACCTCCTCACTCCCACTAGAGCTGTATCCAGCCTGGCCAAGGGTCTGGTGGCCCGCCTCTATCCCAAGTAAGCGCAAGTGAGACGGGTCATCGTTTAACGAAAGGACCAGGTTTGCGGGCCTTGGCCCTCCGTTAGTCACATCATCAGCTTCTGAGGCTGATCGTCCAAGTTGCCATCGCTTCTCTGAGCGCAAACGACTGCGTGACGACCAAGGCCGACCGGGGAAGCGACCTCTGGCCGTAGCGGTTCCACCTGGGCCTCCTACGGCAGCCGCGGTTGCTGATCCGCATCCCGCTGCCGCCATCATTGCTTCAACAACAACACACACCGACAGCTAGCCGTTCGAGGAGAAACAAGAGGGAAGGCGCGAGATGGGAGGGAGGGAGGGGGGGTGGGGGGGGGGTCGCGCGCAATGATACATGGGAAAGTGAGTTTTTACATCGAGGCTCCAATAAGAGGGGTGGGTTGACCTCTAGTGGTGATTGTTGTTCAGATTTCCATTCAGAAATGTGTATATTTCACATATCAGATTATGTCACTTCACTACACAAATATTTCTATTTGAGGAATTGCATGTTGATTAATGACATTAAGACATAATGTTTGTATTGCAACTTTTCTAAAAACAATATCTTTATAAAAACCTTCTCGTGGATTTAAGACAAGTCTATCGACACTGTTGTGTATTTTGGTTATTTATTTTCTTGCAGTCTACATGGTTTAACCAGCCCAAGCCTTCAAAATTCACCAGCATATGAAAACAGAGTGAGTGCCTAAGCCTTAAAGAACCGATGAGTTAATTAAATACATCAACCCAGTTTCAACAAAGGGGGCTATATGAACTTTCAAGAATCAAATAGCTAATACATTTTGGATTGCTGAAAATCAACTATTCAGTATTGAAGATGATTTAGAAATGTCATTTGTTTATTTAAAAGTGTTCCTATGATAGTAAACTTTAAAAAGAAGGCCACACTTTAAATTAAATATGAATGCAATGGTAACATTGACATGGCCTATACTTGCAAGGATAGCTTAGTCTTAATTGACCATGGCAGTATAACAATAACAACCCTCTGACAGAGGGAATGGGATAGACGCAGAGAATTAGAGTGAACAAGTGGGTTTTAAAGACATTGCAACACAGCAGATGGCAGTGTGCATCTGTATTGTCACCAGAAGAAGCTGATGATGAAAAAGAAAAGGAAGCATGCAATACAATGAATGAGGAAGATTTAAAAAAGTTAAGTAATCATCTTTACATTAATAAATAAAAACGTTATTTATTGAATAATAAGACGTCATCATTGTGTACAAACACAAAAAGGGTCTATTGAATTTATTTTACGATCGAGATGACCAGATTGTACAGTAGGTGGCGGTATACAGAAGAGTTAAGCAGAGACTTGACTAAAACGAAAAAACAAAGAAGAAGAAGAAGAATGCGCATCAGAAGAAGAAAGAGGAAGTGTTTGGTTGTTCCTATTTAGTTAAGTAGCGACGATTCTCTGGCTTTTTTGGCCTTACAAATATCAGGTAAATAATCACACAAAAGTACAACATTCTAGTCACATGTAAATCTTTTTTAAATGACATTGTCCAGAACCTTGAGAGCGATGTAAGTTACTGCTACTGTTTGCAACAGTCGGAACTACATAATGCTACATTGCTCAGCTAATGCTAACGGTAGCCTTGGGTGAAGTCATGTGACAAACAATGCAATCCATGTCAGCATACTGCTTTATTGTTTCAATGTTATACAATTGTGTAAAGATCATTTAGCTCTTATCATGTATTTCAAAGTAGACGATCTTGTTTTCAAAATGACCAGTATCATATTTTAACTAAAGTATTCCCGTCTTTCTGGTTCTGCACTCTAACTATTTTTTCCCCTGATTTAGAATCCACACAATTTCACCATGAACCTGGAACGAGTGCCCAATGAGGAGAAACTCGGCCTATGCCGCAAATATTATTTAGGTAAGAATACATAAACATGAATGCCAGGACCGGAGAAGTGTCGATGTCGATCTTCATTGTTACATGCTATACATGCCTCAATACGTTCAAAATGTCACTCGATTCTAAGCATGAGCATTTAAGCACATTTTTGTAAATATTAAGTGGTAATATGCCGTTGTATTGTCATTGATGTTGTTTTTTCCATCTTCTTCTTCTCAGCTGGCTTTGCTTTTCTACCATTCTTGTGGCTGGTGAATGTTGTTTGGTTCTTTAAAGAGGCATTTTTAAAGCCTGTGTACACTGAACAGCTCCAGATCCAAACATGTAAGTATCAGAACCACTACTTTAAAACCTGAGGATTATTCATTCATTACATATAGTTAGGACCTCCAGTAAAACCCCAGAGTACGTTTTCTTACCTAATTGTTTACACACAATTTACACTGTGTGCATTTTTGTTCTATCTTGGTCAAATTGAAAGAATAAAGTCACGTTATATTTTCAGGTCTGTTAATCATGATGAGATGGGATGACTGTCAAAAGAATATTTCATATTTTATTTAAAAATGTAATTTATTATTGTATCCACATAGATGAGATCTTAAATTACTAAGAACATATGGATTTCTTTACAGTGGAACTCTTTAAAAACACTTGACGCAATGTGTGATATAATAAGTTATTATATATTGTTGAAATAATTGCTATCCTTAATTGTAAGCCTATTAAGTAAAACATAATATGCATAACGTTACATTTACATTTGAGTTTTGTTCAAATCAGCAATTATGACAGTGAATGCCTTTGTAGTTTTTTTTATTGAGAAATTGAATATTTGCCAAACTTGAACTGGTAACCCTGTTGATATATAACAGTTTTCATTTTGAAGTAATATTTGCAATTTCCTGAGAATTGTTTTATTAAAGACAATTTAAGGCAAACTTCTGCATGAAATGACATACCTGTCACTTGTGTGTTTTTCCTCTAGATGTGAAGCGGTCAGGACTGGGGCTGCTGTTTTGGGTCACAGTGCTCACCACGTGGATTACAATTTTCCAGCACTACAGAGCAGAGTGGGGGGAGGTGGGAGATTACCTGTCCTTTACAATTCCTCTGGGCATTCCTTAAAACATTTTTGTCAAATAACTAATGATCCATTATAATGGACCAAGGAATTTTCTCTTCTTTAACAGTGAAATATTCTGATGATTTGTCTGGTCTCCGGAGAGAGATGTAATGGCTGAATCATGTTAACAAAATCAATCCAACTATGTCTTTAAAATATAAATACCGTAGGATTCAAAGTCAGTTTTTTGTGCTTGCCAGGCATTTGACAACATTCTTTGGGTTATTTTTTTCAAGTGAGCTCACTAATATCTTTTCTTGTTTTATAGTGGAGTTTAATGTCTGTGTGTGTTTGTGAAACCCAAACAATTTTTACTTGTGTATGAAATGATAAATAAAAACAAAAGTCCATAATGCCTCCAACCTCCAATACCATATATAATACCATATACTGTATTTGTTAGACCTTCATTATCATATTGGAATATCATTATTCTTCTGGGATCTATTATGGACTTAATGTTGGGGGACTCATCATGAGCTATTATCTCCTTATATACTCCCAATGTTTTGCATTGTTACGGAAGGCTCCTAAAGTCTGGCGCCTGTTGTGAAACCCAATAACTTAATCTCTCCAAATGTCGCCACTTCCCTGTCATCCTATGTGAGTCATAACATGATCGGGGCCATTTTTAGTCACTCCAGTCAAAGCTTAAGTGACAGGTTCTACATTACTAACAGGGAGAACATGTGCTCTGAATATAAATTCACTCAGAATGTGCCAGGAACAAGTCAGGAGTATCAGCACATACTTTTATGATGCAGGGAGTTCCTTAATAACACTGATTTACGAGGAGTAAACTAATGAACCCTTTTAAGGACATCATTTCATGTGTGGAGCGATGGAAAGTTACTAAGAATTTTTACTCAAGTAGCTACTACTCAAGTTCAATTTTGAGAGGCTTTCATTTCATGGTATTTTGTGTTCAAAACATTTTTGATACTACTTCACTTTATTCATTTATTTGACAGCTAGTTACATTTCAGATAATCTCTACATAAAACATTAAAAATCAGTTTATAACATTTGATGTATTATAGATTAGTTTGGTCTAGGCCCCATACTGACTTAAAGTGATACTTGTAAAATATAAATACACCATAAAACACCCACAGGAGCACATTTGCCGCATTATGAGGACATTTACTTTTGATACTTCTAAGTACATTTAGCTTATTTTATTGAGTGCAGGAGTTGTATTTGTATGACAGTACTGTGACATTACTACATTTACTTAGGTAAATGACCTCACAAGTTCTTTCACACAGAGTGATGGATGGGGTGAAAGCACACGCGCTCAGGCATGTGTTAGGGACGTCCCTGCTGTCACTGTCTGTCTGGCATCAGCTCACGAGGGGTCAACAACATCCCTTTTGAACTTATTTTTGGATAAACCTTCCTTGACAACAGACCTTGAGCATGTATTTCATAAGTCATATAAGAAAACTTAAACAGTTAGTTTCTGTTTCATAAACCCTAGGAATACACTTCAGACTACAATATTGTTAACAGGGAATAACACGTTAATTGGCATAAACTCGCAACAGCTGCGTCACTCCCAAAACAATACAGTACACCACCCTTATCCTATATGGCCCCGCCTCAACACCCAAGGGTACGCATCCGGAACATAACAGAGGCAAGGTGCCCCCACTGTGTATGCTACTCCAGTATAAAACAAACACCGTAGCAGTCAGACACGTCAAGCATCCCGTGAGCGAGCAGCTTGGGGTCAGACCATAGACTAGGGCCTATATAAAGGGTCAGACAGACGGGCGCACCAGGGCATCATCTGTACTCACAGTACCTCTTTTAGGACTGACACGGGAACACACGCAGTGAAACAGGGGGCGTCCTTTCCTGCTCGCACACTCTTTTGGTCAGAGAATTTAAGAAGAGGTAAGCTGAGTTGTTTGTAGCCTCAAGTGCTGGGAAGTCAACTCTCCTTTTTAAACACGTTCTCTTCCTACTGATTAGAAATGGACTTCATTCTGCCACCCTCTCTGCCAGATGGTGGTATCCCATGGGAGAAGGTTTTACCACCTCTTATTCCTCGGCTGAATGGGATTTATGGAAATTATCAATGGTCTCCAAAATTACTGATTCCAGAGAGTGATAAAACCAGCTCTGCAGAGGTAGGTTATTTAAACTTACTACAGCTGTTAGTATGGTTTATTAACTATTTAAGAACAATATAATTGCATGGACACACAACAATATTAAAATATATATTTAATAATACCAAATAACCATGGTAACTTATTCAATAGTTATTTTCCTTTTTTGTTGAAAAGTAGGCCTATATCCACCAAGTAGCTTTTGAGAAAAATATATAAAATGAATGTTTTCAAATCACTGTTTCCAAGGTCAAAAACAACTTTCACACTCAAATATCCTTTAGGTTTAATGCATGATAGCAAACAGGGCTTTTGGGTGTATTTACTGTGCTAAGACATATTTATTTCTAAACATTAACAAGTGTTTACACTTTTATTGGTAGGTGAACTGTGACAACAGCGGTTTTAGAGTTCAAGTTGATGTCAAGCTCTTCAACCCAGAGGACCTCCTGGTCAAAGTGACAGGAGACTTTGTGGAAGTGCAAGGAAAGCATGAAGAAAAGAAGGTTAGTATTCTGGATGGAACATAGTAGGTTTTAGGGAGGTTTGTTAGCAATATTTAAGATCCTCAAAACTTGGATTCATTGTGCTCTTTGAAGGATGGTGCAGGAGTTTCAACACGGCAGTTCAACCGTCGCTACCGAATCCCAAAGGGAGTGGACACCATGGCTTTGGAGTCAGCGGTCTCTCCAGAAGGCATCCTTATTATTTCTGCACCGATGCTGCAAACAGAGGACTCCGGCAGACCGACATAATGCCTTATAATACCAAACACTAACATTTCTGCCGTCTTCACCATGTATGAAAATAAGTGCGACATAAGCCTTTAAGAAACACAGGCTCATACAGAATAACTTGAGGCTCCTTCAGTCACAGCAACACTCATGCATGCACGTGCCAAAACGCCCATGTGTTGTTCTTCCTGGCGCTGTTCTAATATTCCCTGCTCTCTTAGGTTTGTATATACCGCTCTGCTATTACTCATCAATCTTACACGATGTTTAAAAGAACCAGTCTTTGTAAATATTCTGCGTTCGTAGTTCAATGTGCGCAACTTTTGTAAAGAAAATCACTGTATTGTTATTAATGATGCACACAAAAACATCTCCAAAATCTTTAATGTGGAAATATGTCTTCAAAAATAAACTTTATTTCTTTATAAAAAAAAAAAGGCATACATGTGTTTTCTTGTCAGTGGTCAAGTTACTTCTCGCTCGTCCTGGAATTCATTTAATATAGAGTCCACATCACTGAAAGGAAAAATACAGTAGATTATTTTTCTGGAATTTGGGGTGCTCTGTTTTGAGGATTCTTATAACATTAGAAGAGCCTCATTTTCAAATGATTTTTCAAATGAGCATCTTCCTAGGAACATAATCTTACATGACTGGACAATTACATTTAAGATGATCATTTTACCTGATCTGCTCCTTTACCCATTTTCTCTGCTTGCGAAGGACTTGTAACAAAGGGTCATCTTCAAACTCTTTTTCATCTGAATCTGAAAAAAAAAGAAAACAGTTCTGTTGAGGATAATCACCAGCCAAGGAGAAGGTTGATATTGTCGTATACATCAGCATGTAAATATACTGTGTGGAAGCAACACTATAAGTTGTTTTGAAATGTAAACGCCTCCAAAAGCCATTCTTAAGATATTCAATTCAAGTTTATTTATATAGCCCAAAATCACAAATCCTATTTGTCTCAGAGGGCTTCACAAGTCAACAAACAATTGGCAATGTAAAACAATGTAAAAACAACAAACGTATCTTACAAGATCAATGTGAAAATACCAATTTAAAAAGGAACATAACACAATGACACAAATACAGTTAGAGTACAATAAATAAAATTCCATAAAACGAAGGGTCCATGAGGATGTATAAAAGGGGGTTTAAAACCAGTCTTAACTGTACGCTGTACTAAAGAGGAAAGTCTTTAACCTACTCTTAAATGTGTGGACACTGTCTGCCTCCCTAATCGTCACTGGAAGTTGATTCCAGAGGAACGGGGCTTGGTAGCCGAAAGCTCTAGCACCTGACCTTTTTTTGTGGACTCTGGGAACCACCAACAGACCTGCACTCTGGGATCTTAATGCCCTAGAGGGGCAATAGGAGGTTAAAAGATCCTGTAGGTAGGATGGTCCCTGACCATTGAGCGCCTTGTATATGAGTAAAAGTATTTTAAAATCAATCCTGGACTTAACTGGTAGCCAGTGCAATGCTGCTAAAACAGGAGTGATGTGGTCCATCTTTTTCGTTCCTGTTAAAACCTGTGCTGCAGCATTTTGTATGAATTGAAGGGTCTTTGATGATGAGTTTGGACAGCCTGATAAAAGGGAATTGCAATAATCCAGCCTGGAGGTGATAAAAGCATGGATTAGTGTTTCTGCATTGTTGTGATTTAGGATGTGCCTGATTTTGCAATATATTATATACTACTTAGATGGAAGTAGGCAGTCCTTGAAATTTGCTTTCTATGGGATTTAAAAGACAAATCCTCGTCAAAAATAACACCAAGATGTTTTACCGTGGTGCTGGAGGTCATGGTAATACAATTCGAAGAAATTATGTTGTTGGACAGTTTGTTCCGAAGGTGCTGGGGGCCTAGTATAATGACTTCTGTTTTGTCAGAGTTTAATAATAGAAAGTTGCTGGTCATCCATGTCTTTATGTCTGTGAGGCATTCTTGCAGTTTAACTAATGGAAATTGTACATCTGGTTTAATTGATAGATACAATTGTGTATCATCTGCATAACAATGAAAATTGATGGAATTATTCCTTATGATATTGCCCAATGGTAGCATATATATGATGAACAGGATGGGTCCAAGATATGACAACAATAACATTCAACATGGATCACAATTGATACAGCATACACAAAAAAGAGAGAGAAAGATTTAGGGTGTTTGGCATGTTGTGAATGCGGACCTATAGATAGTTCAGAATAAATTCTCCACAACTAACAACAGGGTAAAAGTTGGCACTTAAGCTGACCTTCCGCTTCCTGCAGCAGCTGTGAGATGACCTCCATAGAGCTCTGTGCATTGCATGGAGGAACTGTGGATTGTGGAGGTGCAGAGGAAGGGCAAGGAGGGGAAACCGATGAGTCAGGGGTCCTTTGTGCAGAGTCCGCCGTGGGGAACATTACCTCTGAAATTACCTGTCGAAGCACAAAGAGAACATCCTGCTAGTAAATGCTTCTTTAATTAGCATTATTGCATTCTACACCCCCAAAGCATGATATGAAATATTAATAAATACAATGATGTTTGACATCTAAACAATGTGCACAGTGATGGCATTTATATAATGTCATTCTAATGAGGTCGGACATGTACACCTGATTATCTAAATGATTTAGTGCCTCAAACAACATATTTATTGAAGACAAATTCAAATAACTTAAGTATAGGTTTCTTGTGTTTGATACTCACCCTGTTTAATAAAAACGAATAATTTAAAATGCATACATTTGCCACAAATTATTGAATTTTGCATAGCAACATCTTTTACGTTTATCCTATATACTGCTTGCAAGTTATAACAAAATTGAGACAAACTATGCAAACAACCTCGGAGGCTTCATATTGCCCTTGTCTAACAAACAACATGGAGAAGAATAAAGAAAAAAGCTTAAGAACCTGTCCTAAGGCTCTGTGGATTGGAGAAGGGGGCGGTGCATGATCGCCAGTACAGCTTTCCCTGGAAAACCCCTGGCGTTGCTCCTGCAGCGGCTGCTCTGCCCACGGCATGACTTTTTTGGAAACTCTTGGTTGTGAAGAACTTCTGTTTGTAGAGCCAGTGCCAGCAGCATGTTCCCTATTCACAGTATATTTGCAAATTATTGCATATTGAGCAATCAGTATTTAATTTATATTACACTTTTAGAATCTTTCAATCTTACCTTGTTGATTTCTTCTGCTTTCTGATTGACGGGGCCGCCTTCTCCTCATTCTTCTCCGATTCTCTTGTTTGGGCTTTCTCTCTCTTGCTCCTCTCAGATCTTTTGTGGTGACTAAGCCCTACTCTTTCTATTATTCCAGATGAAGCAGGTGTTGGGCATGGCATATGTGCATGAGAAGGTTTGTCAGTGATGGTGGTCATTATGTTTGTAGGGACTTGGATCTTTTTACAGGCAACTTTGGTGCCATCTAAACTTTTCAAAGTTTTGTGTTTCATGGTAGCATGAGACGACTGGATTGGGCAGGGCAAGATATCACAGAGTAAATGCATGTGGGCAGGAACAGGTGCAATAGTTTGGGGATGAGAGACGGAAGAGCCAGAGACATCAAAGGCAGGGAAGGGAGGTGGACCTGAAGCCGGGGGGGAGGATTTGTGAGCTTCTTTGGTGTCTAGTTGTGGAGCTGTGATGTGCAGATGTGTATCTTTTTGTGAGACGTCAGGACGTTGAATACTCCGGTGTTGCTATGAAAGATGCAAGAAAGAGGAAAATAAAACATCCTGTAAATCTGCAATTATTATACAAACAAAAATGTAAATGTCAAATACCCTGACTCAAACCTTGTAAGCCTGTCCTCTGGCTGAGGCATTGTTTGAAGAACTGGGGGCCTGCCAGCTGAAAGTGGGACCATGCAGACTGGTCTGATGCGGGGGCCACTCCCGGGCCTGCTCAATCTTTCTCCTTAAACGCCACTGGAACAATATGTCCTCTTCCCGGCGTGTGGGAGGCACCAGAGAAGGAATGACAGAGGATCTTTGGAAGAACACAGCTCGGTCTGAGTCTGAGCAGGCCTTTGCTGTAAATATTAATAAACACATTGCCTAATATAACTAACACTGCACTACAGTTTAAAAACAGGCATGAAAAAATATGAATCTTCTAGGAAAAATTGGATAAGATGGGAACGGCATTGAGGCAGTTTGTATTAGAGTAAGAGTTACAAAACTCCTTCTCAAAAATGAGTATTATGCAACACTCTCGACTTACCAGTAGATGTTATTAAACTGGGAATCAAAGGTCTTCGCGGAGGCTCATCTACGCTGACTCGAGAAGAGAAATCTGAGCAATCCAGGCCCTCTGAGCTGACAGGTATAGATCCATCACTCAGAGTACATTCGCTGTTAGAAAGACAGATGATACTTACAATAATAATATTTCATCATATCACATTTATCATAAATGTAATTTGCTTGTATTCATACCCTCTCAGCAACAGTTGATTGGCTTTTTCTTGAAGCTGTAGTAGCTCTACCGCATCGTCAAATTCCATCTGGGAGGTGTCTGATAAAATCTGAGCAATAAAGAGGATCGACAAACCAATGAAAAATAACAGTTGCACATTGATTCAGCAGCAGTTACGTTTTCCTTCACATTATCTAGGTTCATATTGCTAACACATATACCGAGAAGTTCTTTTACAATTTTGTGAAAGTGATTCATCTGACATGACCAGGCTTGCAATCTATAAATGTGTCAAACATGGGTGCATAAACAGTGGCTTCCCAGGTATCTAGTAAACAGAGAAAGTTTCCAAATGGACGTGATGCAGGGTTGAAATGCAAATATTTATATGCACACTTATTTGGTATAAGGCGTCTCTACTCCTGCAGACACTCCGTTTCCTTGGCATCCAGACAAACTTGCCTTATACACCGGGGCAGGGTGCAGACCCAATGGTCCAAATATAAACGCATGTGAAAACAATAAAACAAGATGGAATGGTATCTGGTGTTTTGGAAAGTCGTTTTTGGTAATTATTAAAGATTTACATTTGGCAAATTTATTTCAAGACAGTAACAGGCCATATTGTTTGGTCCACACAAGCACTCACACTAAGGGATCCTCTGCATGGGGAGGGGGATCTGTCATGTTGACGTTGTCCAGCTGGACTGAAGCTGGCAGGTCCATGGTCATCTTTCATAGGCTTTATAACTTCTGTTAAGAGAAAGGTATCCCTCAGAAAGATTATACCAGCTAAGGTGCTTTCCACATTGAAATTAGAGAGCTGGTGAAATGTAATAACCCCTCATACACTGAACAAAAATATAAACGCAACACTTTTGTTTTTGCTCCCATTGTTCATGAGATGAACTCAAAGATCTAAAACATTTTCTATATACACAAAATAACCATTTCTCTCAAATATTGTTCACAAATCTGAAAAAATCTGTGATAGTGAGCACTTCTCCTTTGCCGAGATAATCCATCCCACCTCACAGGTGTGGCATATCAAGATGCTGATTAGACAGCATGATTATTGCACAGGTGTGCCTTAGGCTGGCCACAATAAAAGGCCACTCTGAAACGTGCATTTTTGCTTTATTGGGGGGGTCTGGGGGGGTCCGAAAACCAGTCAGTATCTGGTGTGAGGGTTAGGGTTAGGGTAATGTTGTGAATCGAGTGGCCCATGGTGGTGGTGGGGTTATGGTATGGGCAGGAGTATGTTATGGACGACGAACACAGGCCACTCGATTCACAACATTACCCTAACCCTAACCTTCACACCAGATACTGACTGGTTTTCGGACCCCCCCAGACCCCCCAATAAAGCAAAACTGCACGTTTCAGAGTGGCCTTTTATTGTGGCCAGCCTAAGGCACACCTGTGCAATAATCATGCGGTCTAATCAGCATCTTGATATGCCACACCTGTGAGATGGGATGGATTATCTCGGCAAAGGAGAAGTGCTCACTATCACAGATTTTTTCAGATTTGTGAACAATATTTGAGAGAAATGGTTATTTTTAGGGATGCTTCGATTGCCAATTTCGGGGCCGATCGCCGGAATCAGTATCGGCCGATACCGATCGCCGATCCGATCGAGTGGGCGGGGCCTAAATGGAAGATTTAAACATCACTTTAAATCTTCCATTTAAAGTGATGTTTAAACTCAGTTAATGGGGCTCATTCACTGGAGCTTCCACAAACAACAATCAACTTAATTATTACATTCAAATGATGTACATTATTCAAGTTTACATTCACTTTGGATAATAACACGGGAGAAATGAGCGGAAGCGCTCTCTGTTCCTCTCCCCCTCTCTCTCTCTCCTGACAGCCTGTCAGTATTTCATGCAGCTCACTGATCCAGTAATGAGTGACCCGACAGTGAAGAATAAATATATTTATAATAACTAGTTTAGCTTGTTCCAGAGGTAGATAAAATAGCTAAGTGTGTAAGGTCTAACTCTTGTGTGTTTCGCTCCGCTCACCGGTCCGTCACAGCGGGCGGAGCTGCAGGATTTCTGCTTCACACACGTTGCATACCGCTATTTTACTGTCTTTTTCGGACACCTTAAAATAATGCCAGACCGGTGAAGCCATTTTGGCGAGCTTGTTTTGCCGCACACAGAGAAAAGTGTCATGTATTTTACGTCATGCGATCGGCTCTCGTGATCGGCATGTTTAGAGAGCACCGATCGATCGGTAGAGAGTGAGTATCGGCCGATCTCGATCGGTGGCCGATCTCGATCGGTGACCGATCGATCGGAGCATCCCTAGTTATTTTGTGTATATAGAAAATGTTTTAGATCTTTGAGTTCATCTCATGAAAAATGGGAGCAAAAACAAAAGTGTTGCGTTTATATTTTTGTTCAGTGTATAAAAAGTAAACATTAAAATGGAGAATCTACCTCTGTCTGTTGTTTTAGTTGGTGTTGAACTGCAAGGTAAAGATGAGGGTGACATCCACCAAAAAGGCAGCTGCTTCTCTTCTATGGCAGAAGGCATCTGCTGGCGCTCCTCTCGACTCTGTGGTTGACCATTGCGAAAGCGATCTATGTACCTAAGGGAGAAAATATCAATGTGTGTTATGACTAGTGATATAAATAGTAAAGGACCACTAACCAGTTTCTATATCTCCCAATCTTTATATCACAGTGACCATTCCATGGTAATGTTCAGTCATGCCTTATATATTGCTACTGCAAGAAAAATAGTTCTAATAAAGATGATAACTTAGGGCATAAGTATTGCTACTCAGGATATATTCTGGATTCTGAGTAATTTAAACTTACTTTGCCATCACTGAACTCTGCTGAACTTCAAACTCTGAGGAAAATGTGGATTTTCCTGCTCTAGCACTCTGTTTAGATGTCTCCATGTCAGAAGAAGTACTGCTGGCAGGAGAAGATCCACAGTCGGTGGAGGGCCAGGATTCTTCAAACGCAGGCTGTCTATCCGTGGAAACAAAGTGTAGGTCACGTTTCTCATACGGCCGTTGGCTCTCTGGGCTCAGACTGTGTAATTGTGGACTGGATCGTTGGTTTAAACGTTCTGGACTCAGAGTCTACAAAAGAACAACAAAGTGAGAGACATGTTTGAGATAACTTAATAATTGCAGTAGGCTAAACTTGGAGTCAGCTTTAAAACAAACCGTTTTTTTCTCTTTCTTTGACAGGGATTGTTTACGGGATGGATGATAATGTGCCTTCCCCACTTTGGATGCTGGCTCGAAGGGATTCTGCCTTGTGAACACAGGTGCACTGTAAAAAAAAAAACATTACATTTGTGACCAACTGTAGCTATTGTTAAGGGTATTATAAATAATGTGATATGTATATCTTACCTGGATTTCATTACAGCTTTTAAAAGTCAGAGGTGATTCTTAAGAGCAAGAAAACAGGATGCACAGTATAAATTGTTGTGCTTCAGATTTATATCTGATCCCAAATTAGTATAAATTAATTATATAAATTATAGCTGGGTCGTCACGTCAGCCTGACATTACAGAATTGTAACTAACTGTTAACTAAGATCATAGCACATTATTCACCAGCCTGCTGAGTTGACTTGGCATGTCCACAAAAGAAAGTTACCATGTACACACCAGTACGACACAAATGATGCACAACATAGCAAATTAAGATGTAGCGGAAACATGGAAAGGTCTTATACATCCAACGATTAAAAATAGTAAACTAAACACATAATTACGTTGCTCTTTTGGACATATATCACATAACCGATACAACCAGAAGAAAGCGCCACTGTTTATGTCGATCGTTATTTACTGAGAGCCTTACAGCCAATAGGAACCGGATTTGTTCATGATGGACATAACAGTTACCCAATCACGTAGAACGCCTTCGTAGCCCAAGCGCCAATCAGTCAATAGGAAACCGGAAGCGCGCGGAAGAGGAAAGTCTGGTCGATCGAAAACAAGCTAAGTTAGCAACGGTCATTTGAGCTAGACGCGACGGTGTTTAAACGACACGTCTGACCTTTATTTTAATTTATAAAAATCACCACGGGAAACAGTCAGTCAACTAATTGTCATCGGTGAATGTAGATATTATTGAGCTTGAAAAACTAGCTTTAACTTTATACAAACAGGTGGCTAGCTGATTGTAAACAGTAAGATAACTGCAGCTAACGGCTAGCTAAATTGGCAAACGTTAGTAAGACAACGTCCTGTAGCAGCCATATGCTATTGTCAAGTAGCACCAGTTACAGAAAACAAACCCGAGATTGGTGACCGAGAGTGAACGCCGCATTCTAAAAGTTGGCTTTCACCCAATTAACACTGACGTTACAAATAGGTGGGGATAATGCACCACGTCAAGATAAAGACTGAAAGGCCAGGTGAGTAACACTGCTACATTTATCACTTTCAATGAATGTGATCGATGATCAAGTCCCCCTGACGTAAGCACACGTATTGCATTTGGTCAGCCACTACTTACATGCAGTGATAAAGTTGCCATGCATTCAAATGAACTCTTCGTTTTGAGTGTGGTGGTCCATTACGTTACTGCTTTTTTTTATTTTTATAAAATCCCAATTGTTTACATCTTATATCAATGCTTCTTCAGATTCAGAGGGTGCTGGTGCACGCAGCCGATTGGATGATGTGCTCAAGGGACTTGTGGAGAGGAGTGAAAGTGAAAAGTCAGTTAGTATTAACATGTTAAACTCATCTCATCATTGTCACTATTTTCCTATCAGACTAATGTCGTTGTGTTTGAACAGGGAACAAAATGAAGGGGATACTGGAAAAATATCAGCGGATTCGTTAAGCAAGTATGAATCAAAAATATTTGTCAAATGTACAGTATAATATGTTGTAGCTGGTGACGTTATTAATACATAAAATACATATCTATATTATTTCAATATTAAATAAATACAAAGTGTTAAAGCTTGTTTTGATATTTCATGTTTTACTTTCCATCTCTAGGGATTTGTCTCCATCATCTGCTGGAAAAAGGCAAGTGTCTTTTTTCTACTGGGTTGACAATACCTTAACATTTTATTTTAATTATCTGCATTTGTAGCTCAAAATCAAACCTTGCCATTTCCTGTTTTATAGTTCTACATTGTTTGCACACCATAATCTAAATCTAAAGGCCCTATGCTTGTTTTGATTTGTCCAGGCCGTCAGCTCGATTCCCACAGCACCGGAGGAAGAAGCGAAAAGAGATGGATGAGGGCATACCAGAAAGCAATCAACACAAACAAAGTAAATGTTGTGAAAATATAAGAAATCATAAAATGTGTCCTTTTTATCCCTGAATTACTGTGTGGTCACCTTACCTACCACTTTATTGCACAACTCCTTACCTTTTTTCTTTCTATTGTCTGTCTTTCTCCCCTTGTTAGATGCTTATATTATTAAGTTGTTTGATCGCAGTGTGGATCTGGCTCAGTTCAACACCAGCACCCCACTGTATCCTATTTGCCGTGCTTGGATGAGAAACAACCCATCTGTTCGAGTGCCGCCTGCTTCCCCGAGCCCCCCCCACAGCATGGTGGAGGATGAGGTGAAGCTACCCATGATACTGGATTATCTTTTTTTTTTATTCACAAGCATATTTTTTGATGGCCAGGAATTGTTTAAAATGAAGCACAGTGTCTGCATCTGAAAATTGTACACATCTGTATATACTTTTATATTTGGACACTAAACGATTTTACAAAAACCTTTTATAAGACAAAACGTTAACGGAACATTGCATTTATAATTTGCTCTTACAAACCACTACCACTCTGCATGTCTGACCTGCGTAAGGCCGCTCCCTTGTGGCTAACACATATAAAACTCTTATTAAAGACAGGAGTGTTGTGCTCTGCTCCCAGTCCCTTCTGGAAAATACAATTTCAGTGAGCACCTCAAGCATAATTCTATATGATCGTTAAATGGATGATGGTTGTTGAATGTCTCTACAGAAGATATTTCAGAATCCTTGCTAAACTAAAATGGGATAATTGCATAAACGTTTTTTGTGTTTCATTTGGTAATTTAACCTTTCCGTCTAATTGTAAAACTTTAGTTCTGATTTTGATCAATACGTTTTACTTGTGTATAGTACTAAGTGAATCCTTAGTTGTTTCTTGCCATTATGCCATGATCTTTGGGAATTATAAATCCAGGAATAATTTATGTAAATGACTGTTAACCTGTATTTGTTCCCACATGTCTTTCTTTCTCCAGATGACAGACATGATGAATGGTAAAGGCCAGATTGTGTACAGACTGCCTCCTCCAACAGCCTGTCCTGTCAACTCATCTGGTGAACCCATCAACCTTAGGATCCCACTGACTGAAAAACCCACTGTTACCAAGGTTCTACAAACAATATGCATGATAATCATTCATTGTCTGAATAGTGATATTAAATGACACACATGTATTATAACATCATACGCATGAGCTAAAAGGAAAACAAGAGAGGTTTAATAAACTAAATCTGAAAATGTTTTCTTTCCACAGTTGACAGATTCAGCTCCTGTATCAGGTTCTCTCATATGTGACCACATGGAGCGTTGGAAAAAGATAAGGCACAAGTATGTTCTTCATTAAAAGCTCCTTGAAATGACAATAATTATAAACATTTGCATTGCCCTGTGCACTGTAGTCAACCCACCGTGAGGGCAGGGTTTCACCCATGGGTGTGTTTCTCTCGGTAAACATCAAACATATTTGAATTGTTGCCGGTATCGATTCGGTCACTTTAGGGCAAGTGTGTGAGAGTAAACCAGATTTTCAAACAACTGGAACCGTCACGTGTTTGTGAGATGAGCTGACACATTTTGTTTTTTTAAATTACAGATGGAAGGAATGCTCTAACAAGAACCAGTTGAGATACAGCGAGAGTATCAAGGTCCTGAAGGAGATGAAGGAGCTCTATGATCGCTAACTGCCTCGTACTGCAGCTCTCCACCACAGAATGGACTCTGCGATTAAAAGGAAGCCACAGCGTAACAGTCCATGTTTGAATAAACACTTATTCAAAGGAAAGCATTAACAGATCCCTCAGCCCTATTAAGACTATATTGTACATCACGGCAGAAAAAAAAGATTATTTGAAGGAGTTTCAAGTTTGCTTCAATTTGCTGTGCTGGAATGTGTTCATGCAGGACTTTATTCATACAATTTTAAAAATGTTGAATAAACAATTCCTCTATCCTGTAGCATCAACATTGAAGTCAATTGTGATTATTTTAAAATGTCAAACTTGCTTCCTTGTCTCTAACACAAGAGTATATGTATAAGAGAATACAGCCAATATTAGAGGTCCGGCTTGGAGCATTAATAAGTCTATACGTGAAGCCCATAGATAACATTTATGGCTTCACTCACTTTCTTCTGAAATGCATACTAGTAGCATGTTAGGTCTTAATCAACCATCATATCCATAGGTGACACCAGTAATGCAGCGTGTATACAAGATCATCCTGCTGACTCCCATTAATCGGTTCTACAACACTGTCGATTGTTCTTTTTTAACATTCAAACATACAAAATAACAATCGACATTAATCTGAATGAGGGAGGTGATTTATTATCATTACAACGTAATTTCCCGATCATTTAAATTATGGGAGTCAGCAGGATGACACAACACAGGTGCACTCACTAACTCGTCCGTGGTGCAACACACACTATACAACCCAGTGAATTGTGTCCCGTAAATGTCACCAGTGTAAACATAATTATGTAAATAACCCAATTTGCGTTCTGTGAAACGGAAAAGGATATTACATTGTTTTTGTTACTTTCGTTGCAGTGTCTTAAATGTAATTTAGGTTAACTTCCTGTTTTATTTAGAATTATTATTATTACCTCTTGGGTTGCCGTACAGCCAATGCGTGACGTCATTGGTAAGCGTAAAGGCTCTGACCATAGACTGTATATATAAAGGCCCTGACACACCAACCCGATTTTGGCATGGATGTATAATAAGAACTGGGTTGCGTTCCAATAGTCCATTTAGCTTAGGAACCTTCCTAACGGAGTGAAATGACCCGGAAGTACGTCAGTGGCAGCCATGTTAAGTGCCGTTCCAATTCTCCAAATGAAAGGAAAGGAGGTTTCAAACTTCCTTAATAACCTCCTTTAGCTTAGGAACCACTGGACCTCCCTTGACGAGAGGAGACAATGCTGCCCCACAATGCATTGCAGCCGCAGCATTTGCCGTCACTCACCAGTCGGCCGTTCACGGAAACAACCGATTATGACCGATAAATTATATCATGAACGTTACGGTGCTTATTAAGCATATTAAAACGTATGTGGTAAGTTGCCAAAGTGCTTTGTTCTGAACGTTCATCAGTATTATAATCAAAAAGAGAAATATGAACGTTACGTTACTGAAATGATCAAATAAAGTCAACATTTCACAGTCTTTACTGAGCTGTGTGGAGTTTGTTCAACTTTTAAAAGATGTTTGAATGGTGATATACACAGTGATAGATGTTAAGGACTAACGTTTATAATAAATACATTTGTATTGATTTTAAGATATGTTCATAGTTCATACAATCATACGTAGCCTATTGGGATCATTTGTATTAATGTGGACCGGAGGGAGAGGGTGATGAGCATAAGTTTCACTTTCCTTTTTTATTTCAATTCCAACTTTGGTCATGAAGAATATGTTTCTCTGTTGTCCACGTTCATAAAGCATAAAACAACAGCATCAGAGCACGGTGCAGAGTCTCTAGATGAGTTTACAGTAGTCCCTCCTTCTTATTATACATCCATGTTGTAGTCCGCTGTATAGAGAGGCGAAGTCCCTCCCCTTCCGAAAGCCTCCATGGGACCTCGGAAGCGGAAAATTATACATTGAAGTCAATGGAGAGAGAAAGGTTATCTTTTGATCCCGTTTGAATTGTGCCACGAATGACACATATGATGTTTGTCAATTTAAAAGAACATTTTGCAAATCAAAAAAATAAAAATGTGTCGTAAAACTGTGAAGTTACACATTTTTTTGTGTGACACCGCTCAGTGAACTACAGGTCTCTGGTCTCGCACAATACGCGTCACCATCACAAAGACGGCCGTCACGTTAGCAAATGTCACCTGTTTCTTTCAGAATGAGGTGAAAAGTATAAAACAAGGTGAACATCACTACAAGTCTGGGCATGTTGAGAGCTGTACATACACGAAAGGGGAGTTAGTCGGTTCTGTAAGAGCAGCGGGACCGGCTTTACAAGGTTTCGGTGAGTAATATGAGTGCAATGTGTAACGTTAATGTCAGCTAGCTAACATTAGCTAACAAGGTACACTAACGTGTTTTGTTTTAGTAACTAGTTTTCTCCTTAAGAAATTCGTGGTCTCTGTGTATGCTGTGGATAACATTAGTGTTCACAAGAACAAGGTACACTCCCGTGTTTTGTTTTAGTTGCTCTTCAGATTGAAGCGGCCAGTTGTATATCGACTATACTGTATGTGTGATCTCCTTTTTCTCATTGTGTCATTTGAGTTTATTTGCTGTGTGTAGATTCAAGGATTTTGGTTATCTAGGCACAGCTGTGCCAGTTACACAACTCCCTCTGGTACACCGGTATGTGTTTTCCTAATGTAGAGAGCATTGATTAATTAATAAACTACACACTGAGTCTAGATCCTGACCAAATCATTTTGTATTGTTGATCAAATGTTTTTCAAAAATGTATTCATACACATTTAGAAAAGTACAATCACAACCAATACAACACAAATTACAAAAAATACAGAAAAAACAAACAATAACAACAGACAAGAGGACAAAACTATGGAAAAATAAACCCTCCCACCCCCAGATCCGAACCATCCTTGTATTATTGCTCATTCAATCTATTATAGCATGCTAACAAATGGTACTTACTTTATTTTTACAGATCTGCATGGGAGACGATGGCGCGATGCAGAGCGCTGTCTGTGATTGTGCACAGGAGATGTACAAATGCAGCCACGCTGCAGCATTGGCAATATTTGCCATGTGGCAGATCAGCTCCACAGATGTTGAGTGCCAGTGGAGGAAGCCTGGCACTTAAAAAGTAGTCCAGCCGGTGTCTCAACTTTACCAACAGCGAGAGGAGACATACAACCCACTGGCCAGAGACATCGCCAACTGTCAACTGGGGGGTTGTAAACGAGCTGTTGGGAGCATCACCCGATGGACTTCTGCAGCCATCTGCCCTGCTGGAGGTGAAGTGTCCACACAGCCAGAGGAACATGACCATCACGGAGGCAGTCCAGTTACCATCCTTCTGTCTTCGTGAGGAGGGTGGGTCATATATTCTCAAGGAGAATCACCCATACTGGCACCAGTCCAAGGGCAGCTGCATATCACAGACCGGAGTCTCTGCTACTTTGTTGTGTGGACCACGAAGGAGGCGATCATCATCCCCATCCCCAAAGACCCTGCATGGCATGGAAATCTCCTCCTCCTGGAAAAATTCTACACCCAGCATATGCTCCCTGTGTTGGCCAGTAGAGAGGAGGACATTTCAATAAACATACTCTTAACACCCTCGGACTCTGCGTTGTGTTTCGTATGTGTGATGGGGTGTTATGCAGGGGGGAGGAAAACAGGACACAGCAGATTGGGATTGTGGTGGAGATGCTGAGCAGTTATTTAATTGTTGCATGTAATTATTATTATACTGCGTGCTTCTGAGTTATTCCATCTTTTGCTGTAACATGGATCTGTATGTAACTCTATATTTACTTGTTATCTACCACACTTCCTTCTACATCATACACCATCATTATACATGATGGTGTATATAGGATATATATATTTGTATACATATCTGTAAATTGTATTTTATTTAAACGTCTTTTTGATCTCTCAAACTGAGTAAGATTGACAATAAAGTTGACTTTGAAAAATATATATATTCTTTATGAAAATAGTTGACTGTTGTCAAATGAATCCAAATGAAACGTTGGACTGAACTACAACTACGCCTTTAAATCTCTACGGACTGTTTTTCAGTGGGATGGCAAGTAACTATCTTTAAACATTTATTAGTTTTTTCTCAGAACAGATTTGATTTTCTGAAGTTAATTTAACTTTGCCGACCATGTAAGGTCATTATTAAAAGGTACAATCAATTTGTTTAGGGTTGACTAAAATAATGAAAAACATTCATTTGGATAATTTACTGACAGAATAAGAAACTCAATGATGCTCTACTCACCTGTTCCTTTTTTATAAAGTGAAACAGTTGAAACGATAGATTTTAGTAAACTTAAAAACAACCTTCTCCAAAAGCTATCAAGGAATATACCGAATACTTGTTTTAGAACTTTATTACATATTTTTATATAAATAGTTTGAATGATCCATAATTGACAGAAGCTTGTGTTTACACTGACCTGTTACTCATATATTAATGTCTTTGTAACCTCAGTAAACCACTACCTCACTCATTTCACTTTCATTCATCACGGTTCAGTAAACTAAGTGATACATGAACCAGTTTAATCATTATAATAACGTAGGATTGCAACTCTTTGAAACTGTAGGTGGCTCTTAAAAGAGCCGTTGTGTTTGGGTGTGCTGGTCTCAGGTCAGTCTAAGCCCTCTCCGCGGATGCGGCGTGCCAGCTGGATGTCCTTGGGCATGATGGTGACCCTCTTTGCTTGGTTCATCTTACTGGGGGGCAGCTACATTGATGTCGGTGCAGTCCACAATCATTGCGCAGTTGAAGGCAGAATTAATTTATTATTGACTCAGAATGAAGCACAACTTCATGTCAAACAATACAATGACTTTATTTGTAATTGTGTAAAAAAATATGAGCATTGATTAGCAAGCAGGACCTGCAGGAACAGAGAATGGTGATGGATGGAGCTGGGAAGAGAGAAGAATAAAGGAAACAGATCAACTTTATTATCGGATATTAAAAATTCAATTTCAAAACAAGTTGCCGCTCCTACAGTTTTCTAGTATGTAAAGATGATTTCACATGACCTATGCAAAATATCACACTCAATACATGTGTGTCTCTGGGGGGTGCATTGTGCCTTTGATGTATATAAATAATATACCACAACCAAATACTATTACGTACAGTGGAAATCAGGTTGCCAGAGCAGGTCAGTGTGCATGTTCCTCAACGTCTCAGCAGTTACAGGTGAGGTAAAGAAAATAAAAGAGAAAAAGGTCAGTAACAACACTTTAAAGTAACAACACTTTGAAT